AAAAACCCACAGACGCCATCACACTCAATGATAAAAGACTGAAAGCTTTTTCTCTAAGATAGGAACAAGGCAATGATGCCTGCATTCACCACTTCTATGCAACACAGTACTAGAAGCCCTCGCCAGAGCAATTAGGAGAAAGAATGAAAGAACATCCAAATCAGAAAGAAAGAAATAAAATGATCTCTATTCACAGATGCTGTGATCTTATATGTAGAAAACCTTAAAGATTTCACACAAAAAATTGTTAGAATAAATGAATTCAGCAAAACAGCAGGACACAAAATCAACACACAAAAATCAGTTGACTTTCTATATACTAATATTGAACAAATGGAAAAGGAAATTTTAAAACCAGTCCTACTTACAACAGCATCAAAAAGAGTATAGGGCCTGGGTGGCTCAGTCGTTAAGCGTCTGCCTTCAGCTCAGCTCATGATCCCAGGGTCCTGGAATCGAGTCCCACATCGGGCTCCCTGCTCCTCGGGGAGCCTGCTTCTCCCTCTCCCTCTGCCTGCCACTCCCCCTGCTTGTGCTCCCTCTCTCTCTGTGTCAAATAAATAAATAAAATCTTAAAAAAAGAAAAAAAGAGTATAATACCTAAGAATTAACTTACCTAAGGAGGTAAAAGACTTATACAATGAAAACTAAAAAACATTGCTGAAAGATATTAAAGGTATAAATAAATTGAAACATATCCCATGTTCATGAATTAGAAGACTTAATATTGTTAAAATGTCCACACTACCCAAAATGATTCAATGCAATCCCTATCAAAATCCCAATGACATTTTTTGCAGAAATAGATCCATACGGAATTCATATGGAATCTCAAGGGATCCAGAATAGCTAAAACAATCTTGAAAAGGAAGAACAAAGTTGGAAGTCTCCTACCTCCTGATTTCAGAACTTACTACAAAACTACAGTAATCAAAACAGTGATGTACAGGCACAAAGATGTACAGAGAGACCGATGGGACTGAATAGAGAGCCAAGAAATAAACCCTCTCCTATACAGTCAATGCATTTTCGACCAAGGTGCCAAGGCCTTTACCCCATTCAATGCTGAAGAGACAGTCTTTTCAACAAATGGTGATGGGAAAACTGGGCATCCACATGCAAAAGAATGACATTGGGCTCTTACCTAATACCATATACAAAAATGAACTCAAAATAGATCACCAACCCAAACCTAAAGCCTAAAACATAAAACTTTCAGAAGAAAACATAAAGCAAAAGCTTCATGACATTAGATTTGACAGTGATTCCTGGATATGATACCAAAGGCCCAGGCAACAAAAGAAGAAAAGACACAAGTTGGACTTCATGAAAATGTAAGTGTCCTTTGTGCATCAAATGACATTTTCACCAGTCTCCCCCCAGAGTTGCCATAGTTTCCTGCTTCAACAGTGCCTGGAGGGAAGAGGCGCTAACCCTCCACCCCCAGTGGCTGCTGGGAGCCAGCCCTCAGCAGCTGCTCACCGGAAGGCCATCACCCCGCTCCAGCATGGGGCAGGAGCAGCGGCTGCCGCCTCTCGTCAGCTGCCCACCATGACCTCGGCGTCTCCCTCCCTGGTGGGCTGGAAATACCCACTATCGACTTCCTGAGCAGCCTGGAACCCTACACCTCCTCCCTCTACCTATCCATATCTTCCTGCTTGGACCTTGATGCTGTGGCTTTGAAGAACTTCATCAAATATTTTCTTCGCCAATCTCATGAGCAGAGAGAACATGCAGAGACACTGATGAAGCTGCAGGACCAAGGACCACATATTCCTTAAGGATATCAAGAAACCATACCACGAGGCCGAACGCAACGGAGGATGCATTTTTACTTGGGAAGCGTGAATTGGTCCCTCCTGGAAATGCCCAAACTGGCCACTGACGAAAACCCCCCTTGTGTGACTTCATGGAGACTCATTACCTGAATTAGCAGGGAAAATGCACCAAAGAATTGGATGACCACAAAACCAACTTGCACAAGAATCTGGCATGGTGGGGTATTCCTTTAAAAAAGAAGAAAATTCTGGGGCGCCTGGGTGGCTCAGTTGGTTAAGCGACTCAGGTCATGATCCTGGAGTCCCGGGATCGAGTCCCACATCGGGCTCCCTGCTCAGCAGGGAGTCTGCTTCTCCCTCTGACCCTCCTCCCTCTCATGCTGTCTCTCATTCTCGCTCTCAAATAAATAAAATCTTTAAAAAAAAAAAAAAGAAGAAGGAGAAAATTCTGACATATGCCACACATGGATGAATCTTGAGAACATTACGCTGAGTGAAATAAGCCAGCCACAGAAAGTCTAATACTATCTGACTCCATTTATATGAGGTACCTAGAGTAGTCAAAATCATAGGGACAGAGAGCAGAATGGTGGTTGCCAGGGGCTGGGGGAAGGGGGATGGAGTTTCAGTTTTGCAAGATGAAAAGAGTTCTGGAGAGGGACAGTGGTGATGATTGCTTAACAATATGAACATAATTAATACCACTGGACTATACACTTACACAAGATTAGGATGACAATTCTTATGTTTTGTGTATCTTTTTTTTAAGATTTTATTTTATTTTAACAGAGAGAGACCCAGCGAGAGAGGGAGCACAAGCAGGGGGAGTGGGAGAGGGAGAAGCAGGCTCCTGGCTGAGCAGGGAGCCCGATGCGGGGCTCGATCCCAGGATCCTGGGAGCATGACCTGAGCTGAAGGCAGACACTTAATGACTGAGCCACCCAGGCGCCCCTGTTTGGTGTATTTTACCAAAAAAAAAAAAAACTGAAAAAAAAATCAGGGCTAATTCAGGCCAAATTCAGTATGCACATATGTAGGCTCTAGTCTTATGTCTTTAGGTTTCTACGTAGCTAGTAAATTAAGCAACTAATTTGATTTGCCCTCCCTCTACTACCTCTCACGTGCCAGGGGCATGTAATTTACAGGTCAATCTTCCCTAGGAATTCAACAAGTGAGAGTAAAGTTTATTTAGGCAAGCTGTCTTAAGCATGAATGTCGAATAAAGGTATTGTCATACATGCAAATTCCTCCAAAAATTTACATCCCAAGCATTCTTAGGAGACTATTCTATGGCAAAAGTCAGTCCCTAAGTGCTGGTATAAGGAAGCCTGGGTTTTCTCTAATCTCTCCACCGAACTGGTTATAAACTCCCTGAGGGAGGGACCACGTTTTATACTTCTATTCCTTGGCAGGATTTTGAGGCTGTGTTCATATCATAGTAGAGATTCAATAAGCGTTATCTATTCTAGAGGCGTTACCAACAGTAAGTGAAGCTTCCGTTAGCAGAATTAGGGGAGAAAAGAAGTCACCTGGCACACAGGGATTGTGAGGGCTCATTTCTCCAGCCAGTCACTCAGCAGCAGTCCATTATCTGGTCCCACAGAGTCCATTCAACTTCATCTCTAGTTCTTGCCAACATACACCCTCCCAACTGGAATCTTCTTGGTCTCTTCTTCCAGAAGTGATCATTACTCATATTCTCCATTGTCAAGAAACTTCTTGGGTTGGGCAAAGAGAAAAAGCTGTGCCCCACTCCCAAAGACGGTCTCTGCAGTTCCACTAAGTACCAGTAGGTGGCGGTAACACTGTACAAACCAGTTCCAGTTTGAGCTCCGTTTATTGAAAGAATCCATCTCCTTTTGCCATTGAGGTTACAATATTTATTTTTAGTGTGATTTGATGGGCCTTGTCTGTAATTTAACAATATTGGAATCAAATTCTGATACCTAATCACATGGATGTAAGCTCTATTAGATTTCAATTAGCATTTCCTCTGATTTGATTATCAAGCTTTAGCCATTCAAATGGCTAATAGAGAAACATTTGGATAATTGCAGCTGTCTGGGGTTATTACATTTGCTATCATTTTCACAGAGTGATTCATGTAAAGACTGGGCCATAAAATTTGTTTTTGTTGGTGGAGACAAGAAACTATGGCTTTTTGGGGTGTGGGGTTTTTTTCATTAGGAGAGAAATACGAGTGTATGGGTGCTTGCCATTTAGTTATTTTCCAAAAAGATATTCTTGATTCTCCATCCACAATATTGTTTCATTTGGCAGAAGAAAAGAGGCATTCGTCAAGTTTCCTTTTCCTCTCTTTTAATTGAACTGAATTACATTTGAACTGAACAGATTAACCACATCAAAATTTATCTCCTACACAAAGGCCTTCCTGAGTAAATGAAATTGGGGTCTCACTTCCCACCTAATACTATTCCTAAGTACAAACACTAGAGGTGTTTTACCAAAGTTGCTAGACCACTTGGTGGGGATACTGAGGCATGCTTTAAACATAAATGGAGTCGTTGGCTAAATAACATTAAAGGGCACTTCAGCCCCTACCATCGAAGATGCTAGGATCAACAAAATAATTGTCTCTGCCCCAAAGAGCCCTCAGACCTTAGAAGCAGGCCCAGTTGCCTAGGGTCTTGGAGTGGCCCACATGTGGGGCCTGCTCCAGAGAGGTGGGGAACCTCACCTAGAGAAAGTCACCCCTCTACTCTGTGTGGGCCACTAAGAGCCAATTCAAATCTGGAAAGAAAAAAGCCATTGATGAAAACTCATGTGTTTTTAGAATCCTATACTTCATGGGACGCCTGGGTGGCTCAGTCGGTTAAGCGTCTGCCTTCGGCTCGGGTCATGATCCCAGGGTCCTGGGATCGAGTCCCGCATCGGGTTCCCTGCTCAGCGGGAAGCCTGCTTCTCCCTCTGCCTCTGCCTCTCTCTCTCTCTGACTCTCATGAATAAATAAATAAAATCTTTAAAAAAAAAATCCTATACTTCATAATTTTTTACCCACAGATAACTTGATAATGTATAAATATGGTTTCAAAACTACCTTCTGTTCTAGGAAACAAATGGGGTCTCTGAAGATTCAAAACCAAATTGTGAGGGAAGCTTAGAATTCGCTTTTGTTCTGCTGGGAACTATTTCTCATGTACTGACATGAAATCATGAATCCTCATAAACACCCCCATCCATTCTCAGAGGCCCGGGACATACCTCTTCAAGGCCAGGCCTGCATCTTTCCCGTCCCATGTATTTGGGCAGGACCCAGCTCCAGGCTCTGCAGACGAAAGCCAGGCACGTGGCTGTGCCTCAGATCCAATTCTATCCCAGGTCATACCGTTGTTGTGAGAACATTAAAAAAAAAAAAATGCAAAACTTTCTTACAACAACGATCCAGCCAGCCTAGTAGTTTGCCTTTGATGGTGGCAACTGTTATTTTTAAGATTTCTCTCTTTAGGTTCAGTAATCTGCTAGAAAGACAAACATGCTAGCCTGCCCTTTAACGTGTTAAGGACTCATTTTCTTCCCCAGTACAGGTGGTTGTGGGGTGGGTCAGCCCCAAAAGGCTTGACCATAAAGAGAGTGCAGGCTGACAAACTAAAGGCCTGAGCCACTGCCCAGGACTCATAAGGGTGGGGTCGGTTTTTCCCAGAAGTGCACACAATGTAACATGTAATCCAGAAAAAATGCAGAAGACATTGCCAGGGCAATTCTCTTGGAATCTAGTGAAGAGATAGGGGGTGGGAGGGTGGATTAGGGAGGGAGAGAATGGCGTAGTGCCCAGATACACATAAAAGGTAACCAAAGAAACATATTTCCTTCTATACTGGTCTTTCCAGACTGGTCCGTATTCAGTTGTTTTGGTAAAACAAGCAGCTGAGCAAACTCAGTAGCCACTAATGAGATCTCAATACTGGGAGAGCCATAGGTCAAGTTTGGGACCTAGTGTTCCCTCAAAAGTAAATAGTACATTTTAGTACAAGAGAACCAGAGTGATATCTTACGGAAGAATTTCCTAAGTGTTAAAAATCAATACCTAAGATCCCACCATTGATCTGACACTCTAGTATCTCTGACTTCATTTCCTATTACTCTTCCCCTGACTCACTTTACGTCACTCACACTGAGTTCCTGCTGCCCCTCAAAGGGTGTCCCCACCTCAGCGCCCTTGCCCTCACTGAATACTACGCAGGCCGTTCTTCCCCTCCATACCCACACAACTCACTTTTTCCCTTCCTTCCGAGCTTTCTGTCAATGTTGCCCTTTCACCTTCCCAGCCGCCCTCCGTAAAATTTTAACAAGTCCTCTTTTTTTTTAAGTTTATTTTTCTTAGTAATCTCTACACGCAACATGGGGCTCAAACCATCTCTTTTCTCCCTAACCCTCTCATTTTCCTTTACCACACGCCAAGCTCCACACACAACACCAAGGTATTTCACACCTCCATGCTTTGCCACAGACTCAACCTTCTCTTGCATGCCCTCGTACCCCTCTCTGACTCCTACTTGTCCCTCAAAAGCCATCCTTGACCAACACTCCCCCCCACACACACTCTGCTGTGGCTTTCCCTGTTCCACACTCCAAGAGCACTTTGTTCTTACCACAAGCATAGCCCTTATCACTCTTTACTAGAACCACTCATTTACCTGTTTCTCTACCAGCCTATAAACACCTTGAGAACAGGAGCCCTATTTTAATTCCTTTGTACCTCCAGAGCCCAGCACAGTGCCTGGCACAAAATAAGTCCATAAGAAATGCTTGACACATTCGTGTTCATATATAGTAGCTTGGGTTTGGGGGGTTTTTTGTTTGTTTGCTCTTCATTTTTTATTTTTTATTATTATGTTCAATTAGCCAACATATAGTACATCATTAGTTTTTGATGAATGGATAAAGAAGATGTGGTTCATACAATGGAATATTACTTTTTTTAAAGATTTTATTTATTTATTTGAGAGAGAGAGTAAACAAGAGAGAGAGCGAATACAAGCAGGGGGAGGGGTAGAGGCAGAGGGAGAAGCAGACTCCCCACTGAGCAGGGAGCCCGATGCGGGGCTCGATCCCGGGACAAGGACCCTGGGATCATGACCTGAGCAGAAGGCAGATGTTTAACCAGCGGAGCCACCCAGGCGCCCCAGTACTTTCTTTTCTTTGGAGATTCCTTTCCTCACATTAGCCATGTGTGTCAGTGTTTCACATTGCCTTAACTAATCCTTTGACTAAACACAGCTCCAGGCAGTTAGAGACAGACATCTGTGCTTCATCCTGGAGCAGGAACTAAGAAAGCGAATTTACGCAGAGGGAAAGTCTCTGATCTGAGATCTAGGGGTGAGGAATAAGAGCCTATCTGTAGGAGCTGTGACATTTTGAAAGCACCAAATTCACCGTCACCTTGAGCCTTTTCTGTGGGGCAAAAGGGGTGACGGGGAGGTTGGCTTTTGTCCTCTCTTGTGGGCAGATTTCTTTGGTGAGTTTTCCTTTTGTGGTGCCTGTGGCCACAAAGGAGGCTACCCCAGGAACCTCCACTTATTTTTAGCCTCAGTTCAACGCCCTACAGACAGCAACCCTCTCACACACCACTGTCAACTTTCAGTCTTGCTCTTGCCAGTATGAATCACCCAGGTTGGCCAGACAAACTGAGAGAATTAAAAAAAAAAAAAGTGAGAATAAAAAGACTTGCAGTGAAAAAGTCTTGGACAGTGGAAAGTCGCAAAGATGCCCTGACATCTAATACGTCTAGCAGGCCCCTCCCCCCATGCTACTTTTATCAAATAATTTCATGTATGTTCATATATAATGTGATTTGAATGAAATTCTCTGTGATCAGTCTGAGATGTGGAGCCTGCACTGGAAAACCTAAACTCCTCCCCTAGGATCCTCTTTAAGGAAAATGTATCTGAGAAATGAATGGTTCTAGATGTTGCCTGAGTCAGAGAGACTACACTGGGCTATTTCCTGGTTAGGTTAGTGGCTATACACTTTGTTACACCAGCTCAAGCTCTAGAGGTATGATATTTGCTGTTGGAAACGTTGCTGCTTCTGAAAGCCATCGGAGGTCACCCTGGAAGGGCAGCTGCTGGGTCTTCCCAGCTACACCCCCATTGGGTCCAGCCAGCCACGCATCCATGGGCCTTCAGCTTTGCAGTCCACTGATGGGAATTCCGAGGATGCATCATCCCGCCTGGTAACCTTTCAGTCACCCAGACTGATTCCCATTCAGCCCCCTTCCCTTCATTCTAGGTCTCCAAAGGATTTTTGACACAGGGGATACTGTAGGCAAGTGTTCCATTATTCCTCTAAACTAGAGCTGCTGCCTCAGTTTCCTTTTTGATCTCTCGTCCTGGGGAGCCGGACTCAGCAGTAAGCAAGACTCCAGGACCTCACCTATTTCCATACAAAAGGTTTTGAGGATGACTCTTCCTCCTTACTCTGGAGCCCACTAGAGGTTACTCTCAGGCAGCAAAAGAGGGGGAAAAAGAAGGGGGAGTCCTATCTAGGTCTATTTATAATCTCCTCACTCCTCTTACAAATGCTCTAATCCCCAGACGGGCTGTGTTCTACGGCTCTGGTTTGACTTCCTATCCTCCTAAGACCCTTTACCCCACAGTGCCTCCTTCCTTTATAAAGTGGGAATAACACCTTGCTCCCGCCAAGGCAGAAGGGGGACCAGAGGAGCTCTTGAGATGATTTCCAGATAGAGAAGAAAAGTTGATTGGATGAAGAGTAAGGTATTAACAGAGAAGAAGAGTCAAAGAACAGTTACGATAGGGCTGAAGAAAAGAGGATGCTCATGCCTGGGGCGCCTGGGTGGCTCAGGGTCCTGGGATCGAGCCCCGCATCAGGCTCCCTTCTCAGTGGGAAGCCTGCTTCTCCCTCTCCCACTCCCCCTGCTTGTGTTCCCTCTCTTGCTGGGTCTCTCTCTAATAAATAAAATCTTAAAAAAAAAAAAGGATCCTCATGCCTGAAACAATGGACTGAACAAGGGAAACACAGAAGAAATGAATGTCTTCCTCCCCGCCCAGCTGTGCCCATTCTGTCCCACGTTCTTAAGTGTCTAACTGGAGTCAAAAGAGGACATGAGCAGTAGCTAAGCGGCACGAGGCAGCATGTGACCACAAGCCCAATGTGTAAGACAGACGATGAGAATTAGAAGGGTTCAGAAGAGAACAGAGTTCTCCAGGGAGAGGAGGACGGGGAAGGACTCTTGGAAAGGGCAGGCACTGGCAAGGAAGCAGAAAGACATTGCTCCTTGGACGGAGGGGGGGGAGCAGAGGATGCAGCCCAGGGAGACCCAGAGCAACTGGAGCAGAGGGTTGGTGCTGGAGAGAAATGGGGCATAGGAGCGGCCAAGCTGGGCAGAGTCAGACCCTGGAGGGGTTTAAATGCAGCCTGAGGAATCCCGACTCCATGCTGCGGGCGAGGGTTTTCTAGAGGCTCTGCTACAGGAAATAACGGGATGAAAATGTGTGTTAGAAACAGTAGTGAAAGGGGATAGAATTGTAGAATTACAGAATTGTAATCCTTTTATAGCACTTGAGTTTTTAACCATGTGCACGTGCTATGTTTCAACTTAAAAACTAATTTTAATACCCTAGAAAACACAAGGTATAATTTGTGTCAATACCTTTGTAGATGTTTAAAATAGAAACAGTCTGGGGGCACCTGGGTGGCTCACTCGGTTAAGCATCTGCCTTCGGCTCGGGTCATGATCTCAGAGTCCTGGGATCGAGCCCGGCATTGGGCTCCCTGCTCAGTGGGGAGTCCGCTTCTCCCTCTCCCACTCCCCCTGCTTGTGTTCCTTCTCCCGCTTTGTCTCTCTCTGACAAATAAATAAATACAATCTAAAAAATAAAATAGAAAGAGCCAAGCAACACTGTAGAGTATGGGGAGCAACCGTCCGAGGGGCAGCATGGGGTGAGAGGTTTGCACACTGACTTCGGCCTTCTGAGTGAGTGGCTTAACCCTTCCGAGCCTCAAATTCCTTTAAAACAGAAATAATACTCACCTACAGAAGGGTTCTGAAGATTAAATAGGATAAAGTATAGCAAGTGCCGAGGCTGGCAAGCATTCTGTGAATGTATACACAAACTGAGAAGCTCCTGTGGGCTGGAGTCACTGCAAAAGCAGGAGGAACGGAACTGATCAGCCACAGGGCTCTCAGGAGAAGGAACACTCGCAGCTCGCCCTCGGCACCGTAAGAAACGATGCACCATAGTCGCACCTAAATATCCAGTCTGGGTGGCCGTCTTTAACCCAACTTTTCCCAAAATCCCCTCAAGAGAACGTGATTCCTCGGAGAACAGTTATTCCACAGATGGCCTGGAGATGTCGCTGGAGACAGTACCATCCACACGGTGCTTCTCATCGCGGAGTCCGGAGTCTACTCTCCGTTAAGGAAAAATTCCACAGGGGCTCTCTACCTAACTCCCCTTCCTCCACGTTCCTGATCTCTATGTGGCCTCCTCTTTCTCCTGTGAATCCTTGTCCTTCCCAGCACTTCCCTGTCCTGATGCCCTGGCCACGTGGGGGTGGATCTGAGTCCTTCAAGGCAGCAGAGCAGAGGTTGTGATTGGGTTATACCTATGCTTCCCTGCTCT